CCTCCAAATTCAGCCGGTCTCCTTCCCCCCTTGGGGAGGTGACTTCGCTGGAGGCCCTCCCCCCCAAAAAATGTCAACGAGGTTTAAAAGCTAGAGCTCTCTATTGCTAATACGTGTCTTACATCATTTATACAGCATTTTAGGGGCCCTGGCCTTTATTCTGGCTAAAACTCAGCATCACTTTCCCTTAGGAAATGAAAAAAACAAAGGTTAACAAAAAGTTTAATATTAAAAAAAAAAAAAACATTTAAAAGAGTCATTCTCACTTCCTCTCCTTTTAAAATGAAGAATTTTTTTCTGGGGGGGTGCAGGAGCTGCTCGTGGGCTCCAAGGTCTCCAGTGGGACAGAAGAGCCATCTGAGGCACTTGCTCGAGAGGGGACAGAGGCTGAGGCAGGTGACGTCCCTCCGACCCTGCTCCCATCACGATCTAAAAGAAGACACAAAAAAACCCCAAAACAGGTTTAGGGTTATGCGCTTAGGAAGACATTTAAACACGTTATATCAAAGGCGAGTTGTGTTTGTGTCATTTGAAAGAGCTTCATTCTTCCCCAGAATAAGAAGGAAATTCACTATAAACACCCCAAAGGGATCAAGACCCCAACCCCCAGCTCCACTGCTGGCCAAATCCAGCTGATTTTTGAATGCTCGTGCAGAAAACCCAGATGAAGGGGAGGAGAAAAGGAATGAAACCGCTTAGGCCCAACCCCTATCTCTGTTATTTTTTGCCAAGGGAAGGACAGAAAAGGACAGATGGACATTTCCTTACTGGGAAATCTTGCAGTTTGTCGTGGCAACGTAGCGCCCGGTGTAATGGATGTTGCACCTCACCACATTGTTGGTGAAGTCTGACTCCAGGACGATGTATTTGGGGTTCACCTGAACCTATAAACAGTGAAAGAGAAGGAAAAATGCACACAAAAATTAGTAAGAGAGGGGATGGGTAGCACCTGGAACCTGTGTGAAAGGGATGGCACCAAAAAAAGGTGTGTGATCCCAAACCTGATGGTTGAGTAGATCCCAAGCTGACCCCAAATCAGTGATGTTTACCCCTAAAAATCTCCCTGAATGACCCCGGCCACCTTTAATACGTAATTCCCTGGCTGCACGTCCGTTATATCGATCCACTGGCAGTCGATGTCAGCATTGTAGGTATCGTAGCAGCCTGGGCTCAAGCCCTGCAAGGAAAAAGGGGGTTCAGAGTGTGGTGGTGGGACAGTGAACCCCAAGGAGCCTTTTAGGCAATCCTCCTCCCTGCCCCAGAAGCCACCTGAGTGTGGGCCGTGCAGGCGTAACGCTTCAGGTTGCCAAAATCGCAGGTGGTGTCCTCCAGGCAGAAGCTGGCCTTGTGGCCCTCGGCCACCTTCCTCCCCGTGGTGGCATCCAGCAGGTCGTAGTGGCTGAACTCATCCATGCTGTGGTAGTGCCTAGGGATGGGGATGGGGAGGGGGACACAGTCAGGGTGAACCCCCCCACAAGCGGTGCTGTCCCCTCTGCAGATGGGATTTTGGGGGCTCTCCATTAACCATGGGGCCACGCCAGCTTGCCAGCTCCCTCTTTGGGGACATCAAATGCAGGAGCTTGGTGGCTTCAGGGACAAAGAAGCAAAGCAAGGTGACTTCCCTCCTCCCCACCTCCCCAGAAAATATATATATCTCACAGCAAAGCCACAGAAAGGGGGAAATGCCACTTAAAAAACCTTAGAAGTGCCACAAAGCGGAGGAGAGGTGAGGACACTCACTGATGGCAGCTGTGCCATTCCCAGCTGTGCCGGGGCCGGCTGGGCAGAAAGTCGGCCGTGCCCTGGTTCTTCACCCGCTGGGGAAACCGCAGGAGCACCCGCACGTCGTAGTCGGTGGCTTCAGCAGTGTAGGCGGTGCTGGGGACATCAGGGAGGGTCAGCGCCAGTGCCCCCGTGCCCTCAGCCCCAGACCCGGGGGACAGGACTCCCCTGGGCACGGGGCACAGGCTTGGCCCTGGCACCTCCAGGGAGGAAAATCCCCAGTGAGTGCATCCGCAGGGAGAGTTTCCTCCATAGAAAAGGAGATGATGAGAAAAAATAAGGAGAGAAGGTCCCCCCAGCCCTGCAGCACCCACTAGACACTGTGCTTTGTTGTTGGTTCTGTGCTTTGCTTCAAACTTCACTTAGCTTTCCCTTTTCCCTTTCCTTTTCTTTCCCCTTCCCTCTTTCCTTCCCTTCTCCTCTTCTTCATCCTCCTTCCCCTTCCCTTCTCTCATCCATCCTTTTCCTTCATGTCTCCTTCTTCCCCATCCCTCTTAGGATTTCCCCTCTCTCTCCTATTCTTCCCTTCTCTTTCTCCTTTCCTTCTCTCTTCTGTCCTTCTCCTCCTCTCCTCCATCCTCCTCCTTCTCCTTCCCTCTTCTCTATCCTTCCCTTTACCTTTCCTTCTTCCCTACCCTTCCCTTTCCCCTTTCCTTCCCCTCTCCTCCATCCTCCTCCTCCACCCTCCTCCCCTACCAGCACAACCATTCCCAGCCCCACCACCTCCCCGCTCCCCATCTCCCCCTCGCACGGGGACCCCTTCTTTCCCCCTGTGTCCCCATCCTCCCCTTGCCCCAGGATGCAGCCCGCACCCCACGACTGCTCCTACCTGGCCAGGCACTTCTCCTCGGCCGCGCAGCGCAGCGAGTACAGGTGAGCTCGCTGCACGTAGGTGGACGCTTGCACGTAGTTGGGGTCTGGCACCAAATCGGGGAGACCTGACGGGGGGGATGGGGACAGCCCTGAGGGCTTGGGGCAGGGCTTGGCTTGGGGACACAGCGGTCCCAGGCTGGAGGCAGCCAGCCCTGTCCCCGTGGGGCAGTTCTGCTTTGGTCACCACCACATTTTTTCAATTTTAAACTGCAGACGGAAAATCCTACCTTCCCCTCCCCCGGCTCCTGCTGGCAAATCCCAATCCTCCATTTTCCTACAGCGGGATTGCTCAACCCGTCCTCCTGGAAGCGATTACACCCAGCCCTGCGCAGCCGCCCTGTGAGGGGTTATTGGAGTCTCCCCGAGCCCCCAGCTCCCACCCCTGCAGCAGCCAAGGACAGGGAAGTGCCCAGACCTCCAAAAATGCAGAGGGGGGAGTCCCTATTTTCTTCCCTGTTTCCCGTTTTTCACTCCAAATAAGGGTGGAAGTGGGGGCTTTGCTAACCCCAGGCCCCCCACACTGTTATCACTCCTCTCCTTTAATTCCTGACGTTGTCCTGCACTTGGGACCAAACTGAAGTGAGCTGTGGACAGACAGACAGACACAGGGATAGGCGGGGTCTGCCTCGCTTTCCAAAAGCATTACAGAGCCCAGCTGGAGCCAGTGCTTCTCCCCCCAGCAACGCCCTTTCACACCTTCCCCAGGGCTCCTCTGGGACCACCAAAACAGAAGGCATCCTTACAACTGCCCCTGAAGAAGGGACAATGCTCTCCAGGCACTCTCTGCCTCAGTTTCTCTTCTCACAGCCCTCTGCAAAGTCAAGTCCTGCTCCACAACAACCTCTGCTTAGCCTATTTCCTTCCTGCAAGCTTGCCAGCCTGTCCCCATTGCCATCCCCATCCCATTCCTCATCCCCAACCCCATCCTCATCCCCATCCTTGTGCCCATGCTGATCTTCATCCCCATCCCCATCCCTCTCCCTGTCCTCATCCCTGTCTGTGTCCGCATCCTTATCCTCATCCCAGTCCCCATCATTTTCTCCATCTCCATCTTTTGTTCCCAACCCCCTCCCAGTCCCCATTCTCATCCGAACGCCCTTTCAAGGGATCAGCCACATCAACTCCTCCCTTTGCACCCTAACAGTTTCCAGCACATTTCCTTTTTCCCCTCCTGTTTTTTTTATCCCTATTTTCCCTTTTTTCCACGGGCAAAAAGAACAATGCCTTCTTGTTTCTTGGCCTGCCTTCCCTCGAGGGATCACGTCACTCCATTGGAGCTCGTTTCCTGCCCCACTTGCTTGGTCATCGCTGCTGATGTAATACCCAGGGGGGAAAATTGGGAGAGCTTGGAAAGACTTCCCCCCCCTTAAAAAAATTAATAATCAAAAAAGTGATGGAGAAAGACCCCTGGGCCCCGTCCCGCTTGCAAGAGGAACATTTGTCATCATTTATAAAACAGCTTTTCCTCCCCACTGTTGTTTATAATAAATTCTTGGACACTCCAAGGAGAAACCCGACTCCTTTACCAACGGGGAGCTTTATTTTCCCCCCACAACGGAGCTCGCCCTGTATGGCCCCGTTGTTATTGGAGGGTCTCACGCCTGATTTTTGGTTCAGGCCCGGCAGTGAAGGGTTAATAGGATGGCAGGATCTGGCCTCACCACCCTCCAAATGTCCCCTTATCACAGCAGGGCACCAAACTGTCCCCAGACCTGGGCTGGTCAAATCCTGATCCTTTTTGCTGAGACAGCACTTTTCCACCTCCTGCAAGTCTGAGGGCCTGGCAGCCCCCCACTATCGCCTCCAAAAAGGGACAACCACAGCAAGAAAATGTTTGTTTTTCCTCCTCCGCCCCTCAGCCTGCCCCGGGGAGCTGCCAGAGAAGATTTCCTTCTTATTCACCGTGAAAATTAGAATAATAAAAAAAGGCAGGCCTGCTCCCCGCTGCGCTGTTTGTGCAGGTGTGCTGGGCTTAGCTGAAAATCCCAGCTCCAGCAGCTTTCCAAGGGGGTGGCTGCTTTGCCTCCCTGTGCTCAGCAGAGCTGGGTCCCAGCCCTGGAGATGCAGGGACTACCGAAGGGGATGGCTGTGAACAATGGGAACACCCCTGAGCAACTGAGATGCACCCCTTCATCCCCCCCATTCCCATCCCTGCAGCATCCCTCCTCCAGCACCTCCTGGTGCACTCCATCCCATCCCCATAGCATCCCTCCACCACCTCGACACATCCCTTCATCCCAGCCATACTGAATCTTCTCAGGATCTGCAGTTTGTTGTTAAATACCTGAAGACAGCACCAAAAATCATATCAAACCCATCCTCAAGCCCACAAAAGGGAGTCTTTTCCAGCAAGATTGTTATCTCCTGGCCCAGGTGCCCTATCCACGGGTGACAGCATCCTCAGATGTCACCACAACTCGGGCTTAGCGGGGATCAATATCCCCATTACCCCACGGGATTTCCAAAACCCACTCCCATCAAAAAACAATTCCAGGAGACCTGTTAACATGAGGGCAAGGCGAAACCACACTCTGGAGATGGAGGAAAGCAGAGGGAAGGGAGTCTGGGGAAGGCTCAGGATGAGGAAACCCCTGGAGATGCATCCTGGGGGTCAGTTGGGAGTGGGGAGCCCTGGTGCGAACCAGCATCTTGGCCAAACATCACAAGGAGGGGTGGGCCATCTCCCCCCATGGCTTAGATGTCTTATCTTTCACCAGCCAAGACCTCCTTTGCACAAGATGACGCAGACCTTGGGCAAGGCTTGGGTGACACTTGGGTGAGCTGCAGTGATGAAGATGTGTTCTCCCCATCTCCTTGCCAAATCCCGATCTCCTGCGTTATCTCCCTCTCTTACCCAAGCCACACAAGGTGCTCCTCTCCCACCTCCACCACAGCCTGCTCACCTATAGATCGAGGGCTGTAAACCATTTCAACTCTCATCTTCTAAACTGACCTCACTGGCTGGAGGGAGGTGGATGATCCATGATGCTCACGCAAGCCCCTAGAAGCTGCTGGATCTAATTCCTTAATTAACCCTCCAGGTGCCCCAGCAAGGGGCCAGGAATGCTGCACATTCCTGGCAGAGCTGATTAGGAGGCTCTTAAAGAGATTAGGCACATAATTAACATGTGATTTGGCTTTATAAAGGGTTTTGACCAATTAAGAAACCTGCCTGAAGGGTGGCTCTGCAGGTTAGAGGCCTGGGGAGATAGCAGCTTTCCCTTTTTGGTGACCTGAAGGGAGGTGGCAGCTTTCCTCAAACAAAGCTTCCCTGGAGAGAGCAGTAGGTGACCCGGAGGAGAGGCCAGGCAGAGGGCCACCTCCCTGGGCTGGGTGGGTGATCTTTATTCCCTTCTTTTATTTATTAAGGAAAAATGTGACACCTGCACCGAGAGGTGGGTGTCCCACTGATGGGCTTGTTGGTCAGCGAGGGTTGTCCACCCACCCCTGAGCACCCCAACCCCCTGACAGAACCACAGCACCATCACCTCCTGGCCCAGATTTCAAGGATTCTTGAAGGACACAGCCTTTTTCAACAGGGAGAAGGTAAGCTCGGCAGGCGTATTCTCATTTCTCCCAGTCGCCTCAGGTCATCTGCAGGGCAGCTGTCCCCAGGCGTCCCACCACAGACACATGGAACCATCAGCAACCCTCATCCCGGCAGGAGCGGCTGCTCCCGACAAGGCGGGCAGAGATCCAGAGGAAGATCCTCTCCGCACAAACCCTGTCCCCAAGCTCTTTCCCACACATCTTCAGCAGGGCCAGCCGGACCTCGGGCTGACCCAGCCAGGCTGCTCTCGTCTGTGTTTACTCGCTCGCACGCAACGGGGCAGGGCTGGGATGAACGCTTCCCCCAGTACGAACCCTCTGGGATGGATTTTTCTCAGAAACCAGGGATGGTGCTGGATGGGTTATGGGATCAGATGGGTCAGAGGCTCCAGCTGAGATGGTTTTCCCAAGGAACCAGCAGGGAACAGATCCCCCAGGCTGTTGCTCCTCACACCCTTCAGCCTTCCTTCTAATTTCACCACGGAGAAAAACCACTCTTGGCAAGCCTCAGCCAAAAGCCACAGGATTTCATCAGGATCGGGGTCAGTAGGACGTGAAGTGACAGCGTCCCTGCTGTGACCTTGGTCCCCTGCTGCGGCCCCCTTGGGGAGGGGTGGGGGTGGCAGTGATGGAGGCTATCAGCCCCCAGCGAGGTAGCAGAAATCCACCCGTGAATCAAGTCTTCCCCAGCACAAGGCACATGGCTGAGATGAGCTGGGACATGGCACTGTCCTACCCCAGGAGCACAACGTGCCCCCAGCCCACGGCACACAGCCACCCCACGCAAGGCAGGACAGCCTGGGACACGGCACAGACCCACCTCACAAATACAGGATGACCTGGAACATGGCACAGACCCACCCCAAGCCCAGACCCTGCTGGACTTGCCCCTACGCACCCCTTCCCTTTCCTTCCTGTTTTTCC